AGGGGGTGGGTCCATGTGGAGGACGTCACCTTATAATGATTATTAATGAGGGGGGCTGTTCGATGTGGAGTTACGTGACCTGCTCATGATTATTAATGAGGGGGGGTCCATGTGGAGGACGTCACCTTATAATGATTATTAATGAGGGGGGCTGTTCGATGTGGAGTTACGTGACCTGCTCATGATTATTAATGAGGGGGTGGGTCCATGTGGAGGACGTCACCTTATAATGATTATTAATGAGGGGGGCTGTTCGATGTGGAGTTACGTGACCTGCTCATGATTATTAATGAGGGGTGGGGGGGGGGTCCATGTGGAGGACGTCACCTTATGATTATTAATGAGGGGGGCTGTTCGATGTGGAGTTACGTGACCTGCTCATGATTATTAATGAGGGGGGGATGGTCCATGTGGAGGACGTAACCTCGACTTAAAGCTTTCGTGACTGCAGAAATTAATAGAGTAGTAGGTTTTTACCCTTTTATCTGGCACCAAAACTGACACCTTTATACAAGGGATCATATTTGCAATAACCACAACACAAGCAGTCAAAATGCAAACAAAAAGGCTGCTTGTGTTGTGGTTATTGCAAACATGATCCCTTGTATAAAGGTTTCAGTTTTGGTGCCAGATAAAAGGGTAAAACCTATTACTATAGCTTGCTACTGGCAAATGAGGTCTCAAGGAATTCATATTCTTGGGTCTTTCGGAAAAGTTACGTAGATATGTTCAAAGAAAATAACAAAAATAACAAAAAACTACGACGTTTCGATCGCGACACAAGCAGTCGTCACCAGGAGAAAAAAAGAGCAGGAAAGCTGCTGAAGCAGGCCGTTTTAAAGGTTTTAAATGGGTGTAGCCCAAGGGTCATAAACAAAGTGGGCGGGGCGAGTGATGTTAAAGTGATAAATTAGCATGTCAATGTAGGTCGCAGAGCTCCCTCCACGATGACGAAGGCTCGGAGGTGGCCACTGAATTGTGAGAGATATCCTCGATGTGGCGGTGACTCTGCGATCTTACATTGACTTGCACATTTCTCACTTTAACGGCACTCGCCCCGCCGACTACGTTTATGGCCCTTGGGCTACACACATTTAAAACCTTTAAAGCAGCCTGCCTCAGCAACTTTCTCGCTCTTTTATTCTCCTGATGACGATTGCTTGTGTCGCGATCGAAACGTCGTAGTTTTTTGTTATTTTCTTTGAACCTATCTACGTTAAATCTTGATTTGAAGCTTTCATGACCGCAGGAATCAACTCTTTGGTTTGTTCGGTAAAGTCACGTAGGTAGAAAAAAAAATAGATCACGAAGTTTCGATTGCCACACAAGCAATCGTCTTCCTTTTCCACCCACGTGACTTTACTATCTCCGTTGTTTTACCGAAAGGCCCAAGAATAGGACGTCACCTGCTCATGAATATTAATGAGGGGGGGGGGGTGGTCGATGTGGAGTGACGTCACGAGCGTTAAGGACATTCCTGAGTGATTTTAGTAGGGTATGTCTATGCCAATAGTATTCATGGCGAATGTAAATGGTCGGCGACAGAAAACCTCGACTAAAATAACAGACATTCAATATGGCACGCACACGGAGAACACATGGACATAGACACACAACAGACAGATTGAACATACATAGACATACATACATAGACACACAAACACATAGACACATACTGTAGCAGACAGATTGAACATACACAGACACACAAACACATAGACACATATTAGACAGATTGAACATACACAGACACACAAACACACAGACACATATTATACAGATTGAACATACACAGACACACACACACATAGACACATATTAGACAGATTGAACAACAACAACAACCGCCATTCGCCACTAAGTGGCGGTGACGTCACCACGACGCTTGTGCCAGGCCAAGTGCACCTTGAGGCCACGTGAAATGTCGAACGCCTGCTGGCAGGAGGTCACGGGGCAGACCCAGGTGCCATGGGTCGACTGACCGAAATGACCGAGATGACTGGCTGATGCACCACCTGTGCCCCCTACTGTACCAACTTGCTGTGCTTTAGCTACCCGACGCTCCGCTCGTTGTTGTGAGCGTCGCTCCTCCGCCCTCCGTTGTTGTTAGAGGGCGACTGCCTCCAACTGCCCAGTAGCGTCCTTCACGAGCCTCCTCCACAGAGGCCGATCTTGACACCGCTGGTACCAGTCATCGGCAAGTCCACTCAGCTCCACGTCCCGTTTCGCCCCCTCGATCCGGCCGAACAAAAGCTGTTTAGGGATGCGGTGGCGGGGCATGCGGGCTACATGACCCAGCCAACGCAGCCTTGCCTGCCGGAGGAGCTCACCGATGGGACTTTGCCCAGATCTTTCAAGGATTTGTGAGCTCCTCACACAATCCAGCCTGGTTAAACCCAGGATGGATCGTAGGCAGGCCAGCCTAAATGTTTCCAACCGGCGAAGATGCTCCATTAGGGGGGTCCACGTTTCGCAAGCGTAGAGAAGGGAGGGAATGACCGTGGCCGAGAAGACCTGAAGCTTCGTGTGGAGCGACAGACGAGGTAGCTTTCACACAGCGTTACGCAACCGATGAAAAGATATTTCCGCTCGACTGATTCGGAGTGAGACCTCTGCTGATAAACTGGAGCCGGTCATAAGCACACTGCCCAGGTATGGGAAACTCTCCACTCTCTCCACAGCTGCCCCATCACCGATTGGGAGTTGTGGGGGTGGAGTGTCCGATGGTACAAAATACCCAGGCAGGTGCTTAGTTTTGGTGGGGCTGATGGTAAGGCCCCACCTCTTAGTGGCACGCTCCAGTCTCAGCAGCAGCGTCTCCAACTCCTCTTCTGAATGAGCAGCTATTACCAAATCATCGGCATACACAACGTGGTTGACCACTAGGGAGCCATCCCTTGATCGCACCCGGGCATCAATCAGCCTCCCATTATATCTGTACCAAATGGAAATTCCCCTGGTACAGCTATTGAAGGCTTCACGAACTACGCAGTCGAAATAGATGTTAAATAATGTGGGAGCCAGAGGACATCCCTGTCGCACCCCAAGGTGTACAGGGAAAGGCTCCGACTCCCGGCCACGTAGTTTTACCCGGGCCCGCTCACCATCATGAAGGTCCTTAATGATCGTGAGCAGAGGGTCAGGGACTCCGAAAGCACAGAGAACAACCCAGAGCCCAGGCCTACTGATGGTATCATAGGCCTTGACCAGGTCAATAAAGCAGAGATGTAGGTCTTGTTGGAATTCCCTACACCTCTGCTGTAGCAGACGGACAGAAAATATGGCATCTGTGCAGGACCGCCCTTTCCTAAAACCGCATTGGGGTTCCGCAAGCCTCTTCTCAGCGTGCCTAGCAAGGCGATGTTGAATAATCCTTGCCAGGACCTTTCCCGACACACTGAGGAGTGAGATGCCCCTGTAATTGTTACAGTCTGTGTGGTCCCCCTTCTTAAAGTGGGGGACCACCAGGGCATCCTTCCAATCCTGCTGTACCCATCCAGCGGTCCAGACTGTTGTTATGATGTCATATAGGGCAGTCTGTGCACAAACGCCACCCTCCCTCAGCATTTCGCTTGGGAGATCATCTCTGCCCGGTGCCTTTCCTGGTCTCAGACTCCGGATCGCCTTCAGTACTTCCTCAACAGATGGCACCTTAGCCAGCCACTCACAGGGGGTGACCTCTTCCAATATTTGAGGCACTGCAGCCTCAGCAGGGTTATCCCCACTTTGTTCTATGATGTTTTCCTGGCTGAGAGATTTTCCCTCCCCCAGGATCTCACAGAAATGCTCAGCAAATCTGCAAACCTGTTCCTGGGTGTTGATTGAAGATACACAGACACATAAACACATAGACACATATTAGACAGATTAAACATACACAGACACACAAACACATAGACACATATTAGACAGATTGAACATACACAGACACACAAACACATAGACACATATTAGACAGATTGAACATACACAGACACACAAACACATAGACACATATTATACAGATTGAACATACACAGACACACAAACACATAGGCACATATTAGACAGATTGAACATACACAGACACACAAACACACAGACACATATTAGACAGATTGAACATACACAGACACACAAACACATAGACACATATTAGACAGATTGAACATACAGACACACTGTAGTAGGTTCAAGGAGACTTGGACGACATAGTCAGAGGCACACTTATTTATTAATCATAGTTGTATATTACAGGCCGAGATATACAACACTCGAAGGGGTATCGGCCCCTTCACCCGTCTAACAGGGAGATCCCACAATCTCTGTCCCGGCTAGCCTAATCCTAGGTCCTCCACTACAGGGCTCGGGGAGGCTAGCTGACCCAGCTCTAGTTAAGCTGGGATTACGGCACCCTGAGTCCCCAGACCGGCTCTTAGAAGAACATCGGCTCTGGGCTCTCGGGGCCACGCCACTGGCTTGCCCTGGTCGGTCCTGAGAAGGACGGCGAGCCAGGGGAGTCCCAGGGCCTATCTAGCCGGTCTTCTTGCTTCGCTGGTTTAAGCTGAACATTGAACCCCGAGCCCTCTGGCTCACCGCCTTATATAGCAACTCCCCCACCGAGGGGTGGGGCTGTGGGGGATCCCAGCGCCGCATTAGCCCCCCAGGCTAAACGGTGCGGATGTGGATGTAAGCATCTCTTCGCGTACGGGCATAACCACGCCCGGTGTGTTTGTTTGCCCTCCCGTAACACCTCTACATCACCCCCCCCCCCCCCTGTACAGCCCGCAGCCGTCCCGGCTGCAACAAAATTCACAATAAAGATGCATCCCCCCAAACCCGTGTGTGCCTCGCGTAACTAACAACAACAGCAACAACAACAAGAGAGAGAAAAATAACCCGACGCACCCCCCCCCCCGAATAAATACCCCATCCCATAAAAACAACAACATATATACAATTTCTAGGACCCCCCCCCACCCCGCGACCCCCGCAAGGGCCGCACAAGCGGCCAATCTCACAAAAGTCTGCGCGTTTTGGCGCGCATTCTTGCAGCGGGACCGTCACAAGGGGCAGCCCCGGTTGGCCCAGTGGTGGGTGTCAATAGTCCGGGTGCGAGAGTATCTGGCTTCGCAGATGAGCGACCCCCGACCCCCCCGAGAGGGGTTGGCGGTCGTGAGCACTTCAATCCTGGTGCACCTGGAGGTGGAACAGTCGGTGGCAAGTCAGGCGAAAGCAGCGAAGTCGGACTCAGGGAGTCGGTGGACCCCTCACATGTTTGGCCATGCGTGTGTGTGGTAGGAACATGGGGCGCAACGAATGGTTTCAACCTGGAGGGGTGCACGAACCACCGACGCTTCCCCCATCGGACACGTACACATTGTGGCTGCAAGACCTGCACCACTTCGACGGGCCCCCGCCACGGCCGCACCAGCTTAGACAAGGTCGCCAGTGGTACTTGGGGACAGTGCAACCACGCCTTGTCACCCGGTTTCCACTGGAGCACATGTGCCCGACCCAGCCTGAGCCTTTCATTCGCCCTCTGGCGGAGTTCTGAATTTTGGATGGCCGCCTCCCACGCCTCTGTCAATTTAGCGATGTTGAATTTGACATGGTCAGTCAATTTGGATTTAGCATGCGGCGTGGAGATCTGCAGCTGAGTCGCGACAGGTGGGTTAGCTTCGCGACCGTACATTAGGAAGAAGGGCGAAAATCCGGTCGCCGCATGAGGAGCCATTCTGTAGGCCGCCAAAACCCCCGGAATATGAAGGTCCCAATCGGTCTGGGATTCAGACACCTGTTGGGACAGCATGGACGTGATAGTCCGATGCAGATGCTCCACCATCCCGTCAGTTTGCGGATGATATGGGGAGGTACAAATTTTTTTCGTACCCAGGAGCACGCACACTTCGTGGAGAAGTTTACCCGAAATTTTTTTACCCTGGTCGGTCAGCAGCCGCTCCGGAGCACCTTTGTCGAGGACGTAGCCCTGGACAAAGGCCTCCGCGATGGCTGCTGCCGACTGGTTGGCGAGGGGCCAGGCCATAGGCCATCGCGTAAAATATTCCACCCCGGTCAATAGGTATTTATTTCCCATAGGTGTAGCGGGGAATGGGCCCAGAATATCAAGCGCGACGAGCTCGTTAACCCGGGAAACTTTGATAGACTGCAATGGTGGGTTGGACCCCCTCGCTGGTGGCTTCCGTTGCGCGCACTGAGTACACGACCCTAAAAAATCATCCACGTCCCTTGCCAAAATCCAGTTGGAGCATGGCAAGAGTTTTGTGAGTCCCCAGGTGAAGGAGTCGCTCGTGCGCAGCCCACACCACTCTACCCCTCAATGTGGAAGGCACCACCAGCCGGTGGCGGCGAGATCTCCCGTCCCAATGCATGAAAAGACCCTGGAATAACCCCCACGAGTCGACATTTTCCGCCCCCCAACCAACTCCCCCGATGCGACGGCGCAAAGCGAGGAGGGAGGTGTCCTCCATTTGGAGGCGCCCCCCACTCCGCAACAGACAATCCCAGCAAAGAATCCCTCCCTTCTTGCTCAATAGGACCCGCAATTGAAGGCGCATCAGCGGCAGCCGCAAGGACCGAATCGGAGATCACATTCGGAGGTCTGCAACGCCCCGAACCCAGGAGGCAAGCGCACTCGGAGGTGGGTGGCAAACGCGACAGAGCGTCTGCGTTCGTGTGGCAAATGCCCTTACGATATGTAGTCTCAAAATCAAAATCTTGGAGAATCTCCAACCATCGAGACAATTGTCCCGATGGCTGTTGAACCCGCAAGGCGTACTGCAGCGCCGCATGATCTGTGCGGACGGTAAAATGGCGATCGTACAGATGTAGTGACATAAGAAGGGAGGGGCTGCTGGGGGCTCTGGGACCCTGGGCGGGCCAGGCGCTTAAGCCTCTTGGCGCCAGGCGCTGGGTTCCCAGGCGGGTCAGATGCTTAAGCCTCTTGGCGTCAGGCGTTGGGTTCCCGGGTGGCCCAGGCGCTTAAGCCGCTTGGCGCCACCAACGGGGGGGGGGGGGGGGGGGGGGGCTGTGTGTGCTCTGTGGGATATCTGGGGGCGCACACGGCCCCACCCCTCGTTGGGGACTAGGCATAAAAGGGGAGCTCCCTGGACGATCAGGGCCAGTCGTAGCTCAAGACCCAAAACCCAAGACCAGCCATCTGAGGACCCTGGGACGCTGTGAGAGCCAGTGGTGGGACTCTGGAACTCACGACTCTACGACCTTGTGAGGGCGAGTTCCAGAGCGTAGCCAGAGTAGTGTATCTAGGCTGTGTACCTAGGCTGTGTACCTGGGAGTTGTTACAGAGTATCAGGACTGTTGGACTATTGGAGTGCTGTCGGATTGTAATAAAGAAGTTACCTCTACAAGTGTCTCCGGAACCCGTTACATTTGGTGTCAGAAGTGGCTATGGAGACAAGAAGTAAGCCACGTACCTTCAGTCCTGACGGCGATGTCGAGGAGCAAACAGCGATGGGGTGGCCAACGCCGGCCGACAACAAAGCCGCACCGCCGGCCGACAGCGACGCTGCACCGCCGGCTGAGCAGCCGTCTGCTCCGCTGACCGTCCCCTCTCCAGCGTCGGGAGCAGGGATGTAGGAGGCGCTGCTTCACCTCGCCGAGCTGCTCTGCGCCACCGCCTCCCTCCTGGGCGAGATGCGGCGCTCACAGGCGATGGCGGGAGGGAGAGAGGAGGCGCAGCGCTCGCCCGAGCCCGCTGCCGCCGCCGCCACGGGCATGGTGGATGCCACCGGCATTCCCGCCGCGGATGTGGGGGATACTTCCGGGAATGACATCACTTCCACCGGAGGAGCAATGACCGCTGGGAGCAACGTCACTTCCAGGCCCAGCGTGGTCCAACCAAACAACGCCGCGTCATCAGCGCTGCGACCTTCACCGCCGGACGACAGCTGGCTTCAACCTAGCATAGCGCGTCATCAGCGCTGCGACCGGACAGTGAGGACACATCGACCGACACGCTGGTCGCTGCCTTTGCTGCTCTGGCCAAAGGTTGGAGGTCGGGAGACCAGGCCCCTGACACTTCGTCCATTTACGCGCTCCGGATTAATGATTTTTTTGTTGACATTTTCTTCGTTGTCGTCGGGGAGTCGTGATTGTTGTTGGGTAAACTGTGTGGAGCTTCGCTCGTGAGTGTTGTCAATGTGTGTGCGAAACTTTGCTTATGATTGTTAACAATGTATGGTTTGTATTGAGCTTTGTTCGTGATTGTTAATGTATAGCTTGTGCTGTCATTGTTAACGATGTATATACTGTATAGGGCATTTATCTTGAGATGGTGACATGCTGCCAAGGATTTGGAATTGTCATGCTGGCTCTCAAATATCTTGGGGTGCAGATCCTGACCAGGATGGCCCAGCGGGTGTTGCATGTCTAACACGAGAGTTGTGGTCCCGTCATGCTATGGCTGATGGCTTGACCTGACAGCCCAGAGATAGAGACACTCCGTGGCATGTCTAGCCTAGTGGGCTGTGTGCTCACATGGCTCGGAGAGTGTGGTCCCGTCATGCTATGGCTGACGGCTTGACCTGACAGCCCGGAGATAGAGACACTCCGTGGCATGTCTAGCCTAGTGGGCTGTGTGCTCACATGGCTCGGAGAGTGTGGTCCCGTCATGCTATGGCTGACGGCTTGACCTGACAGCCCGGAGATAGAGACACTCCGTGGCATGTCTAGCCTAGTGGGCTGTGTGCTCACATGGCTCGGAGAGTGTGGTCCCGTCATGCTATGGCTGACAGCTTGACCTGACAGCCCGGAGATTGAAACACTCCGTGGCATGTCCAGCCTAGTGGGCTGTGCGCTCACATGGCTCGGAGACTGTGGTCCCGTCATGGAATCGCTGATGGCTTGACCTGACGGCCCGGAGGTTGAAACACTCCGAGGCGCGTTGAAACAGTGGGCTGGAGATTCGTGGTGTTCAGGTGTAGTTGTCCCGTTACATTGGGACTGTATCCCTCAGTTGTTAGGGTGCATGTTGTGCAGGGAGTGAACGATGGGTCGTCTCAGCTCGGTCGGTACAGCTATATGCTGCGATGCGAGTCTTGGAGAGAGACTGGGTCTCAGCTCGGTCGGTACAGCTATATGCTGCGATGCGAGTCTTGGAGAGAGACTGGGTCTCAGCTCGGTCGGTACAGCTATATGCTGCGATGCGAGTCTTGGAGAGAGACTAGGTCGTCTCAGCTCGGTCGGTACAGCTATATGCTGCGATGCGAGTCTTGGAAAGAGACTGGGTCGTCTCAGCTCGGTCGGTACAGCTATATGCTGCGATGCGAGTCTTGGAAAGAGACTGGGTCTCAGCTCGGTCGGTACAGCTATATGCTGCGATGCGAGTCTTGGAGAGAGACTGGGTTGAAGTTCCCCCGATATGGCCGACGCGTGCTACTGGTTGTGACGCCGAGTCGGAAAGGCGGTGGGGTGGTAACACGGAAATTCCCCCCCGATATGGCCGACGTGCGCGGTTTTAGGATGGAGACGCCACGTTGGAAAGGCGGGGGGTGCTAACGGTTGACATGTAATGTCGGTGGTGGTCCTCATTGAGGGCTGCTGGGACGCAAGCACGGGATGCCTTGGAGATGCGGTTCGCGCGTGCGGCCACCATTTATGGACAGGAGCAGGCAGATCTATTTTGTTTGTGTCATGTCAATTTTATATATATATTTTAAAATGTAGATGCTGGAGCAGCCCTGAAGTGCGACTTCTTTGCCCAGTACATGGGTCGGCCCTGAAGTACGACTTCTCTACCCGGGACGTAGACAGACATCCGGATTAGTGTGTGTAGAGGGATGCTCGACATGTTGGTCTTCGCCTTCTCTGCACCTGATGGATGGGAGGCTGGCAGGGTGGTGTGGAACCCTGCCATCCATGCGGTGGTTGTGCATCCAACGCGTCGGAATCTGTATATTTGTTGTTGTTAATTCCCCGTTTTCTATGCGGATCCCGAGGAGGGCTAGGTATGCCGCGGGTCGTTTGTTCACGTATCATTGCTTCATCTTTTTGTTGATTGATGCTTGTATATAGTGTAAAGTTGTACAGGTTGGTTATGGTATTTATGGTTGCTTTCTTGTTCTCTTTTCTTTTCCTGTTGAGACTCGCGTATTTTTTTTTCTCTCTCTCCCTTTCGTTAATTTAAACTTTCTAATTATTGACAGCCGGGATGGCTGGAGGCTACATAGAGGAGAGTAATGTAGTGACATAAGAAGGGAGGGGCTGCTGGGGACTCTGGGACCCTGGGCGGGCCAGGCGCTTAAGCCTCTTGGCGCCAGGCGCTGGGTTCCCAGGCAGGTCAGACACTTAAGCCTCTTGGCGTCAGGCGTTGGGTTCCCGGGTGGTCCAGGCGCTTAAGCCGCTTGGCGCCACCAACGGGGGGGGGGGGGGGGGGGGCTGTGTGTGCTCTGTGGGATATCTGGGGGCGCACACGGCCCCATCCCTCGTTGGGGACTAGGCATTAAAGGGGAGTTCCCTGGACGATGAGGGCCAGTCGTAGCTCAAGACCCAAGACCCAAGACCAGCCATCTGAGGACTCTGGGACGCTGTGAGAGCCAGTGGTGGGACTCTGGAACTCCCGAATCTACGACCTTGTGAGGGCGAGTTCCAGAGCGTAGCCAGAGTAGTGTATCTAGGCTGTGTACCTAGGCTGTGTACCTGGGAGTTGTTACAGAGTATCAGGACTGTTGGACTATTGGAGTGCTGTCGGATTGTAATAAAGAAGTTACCTCTACAAGTGTCTCCGGAACCCGTTACACAGATATGGGCGATATTGCTGAATGAAGTAAACAATTGCCAATAGTTCCCGACGGGTAACACAGTACCTTTGTTCCGCCGGAGACAAAACCCGACTGCCGTACCCTACCACATGCTCTACGCCCCCAACAACCTGCGAAAGCACGCCCCCAATGCCCGTGTTGCTTGCGTCTGTATCGAGCACGAAGGGTTTTGAAAAGTCTGGATAACTCAATGGCGGAGCCCCCACTAGGGGCGTCCCGGAGGAAGCGAAAAGCAGACTCCTCCTCCTGTCCCCAGTGAAACTTGACCCCCTTTGATGTCAAGGCATATAAGGGTTTAGCAATTGTTGCGAAATCAGCGACAAACCGTCGGTAATATGACGCGAATCCAATGAAACTCCTGACCTCCCCCACCGAGGTGGGAGTCGGCCAGGAGCTGACACATTGCGTTTTGGCGGGATCTGTGGCAATACCTGACAATGTGACCCAAATACCGCACCGATTCGCGGAGCAAATGACACTTCTGGGGCTTGAATTTCAAATTAGCAGCCCGCATTTTGAGGAAAACAGCGCGCAACCTCTGGAGGTGTTCGTCGAATGTTTTACTAAAGACGATGACATCGTCTAAGTAAATCAAACATGAATCCCATTGCAACCCAGCCAGGACCAATTCCATTAATCGCTGAAAAGTTGCCGGCGCTGAATGGAGCCCCATCGGCAAGCGGTTAAATTGGAAAAGGCCGTTCGGCGTACGGAAAGCAGTTTTAGGTTTAGATTCGTCATCCAGTGGGAGCTGCCAGAACCCTGACAGTAAATCCAACGTGGAGAAGAACCGCGCCCCCGCCAGGGCATCAAGTGATTCATCCATCCGAGGGAGCGGGTATGCGTCGGCTACGGAAATCTTGTTCAGCCGACGAAAATTGACACAAAACCGCAATGAGCCGTCGTGTTTTTTAACTAAGACGATCGGCGCACCCCAAGGGCTGGTAGAAGGGGATATAATATCCGCAGCTAGCATGTCGTCTACGGCCGATTTGACATGATCCTTTTCGGCGGGACTCAACCGAAAAGGATTTTGGCAGATTGGCGCGCTGTCACCCGTGTCAATATGGTCTCAGCAGTTTAGTACAACTAATATCATATTTGTTCTGACTAAAAACATCAGAAAACTCGCGCAGGAGGATTCGTAGCCTCTCACGCTGTGAGTCGGACAGGTCCGATGATCCCGCACAAAGCACACCCAGCCACCCCTCATCACCGTCCGAATGCGGTTGCGACGGAGGAGCG